ATAGTACAAATTATCATTACAGGAGACAGAAGAGGAAATCCGAAAAGGCATTAATTAGTAACCAAACACTATTTCTCATTATATAGAAGGATCCCTCTTCCCGGTCCCTAAGGCATATCAGAAATCATATCAATCTACTATTCAAGCAAAGTGTCTAATATGTCTCCATTCTTGGTAAAGCACAAGAACTCATTTCCTAGGAAATGTTTGCTCTGGAAGATAAATTATTTATGAAAAGAAACAATATCCATGCATGGAGGCAAATTTACGTGTCCCAGGATAAACTTTCTGGATCCCATCTGGGTCAGTCACTGGGACCAGAGGTTTAATCTTCCAAGCTTTCTTACTCGAGTCCAAAAGCTTGGAAGAGTAAAACTCTGGTCTCTGTGATCAACACAGGTTGGATCCAGAAGCAATATTTTCACCAACAGAGTATTCGTAACACTCACCTTACTGGACTTGTGATCCACATTAAAGGTTGCAATAGCACCATCAGCCAGCTCTCTGCCCTCTCTAAGCACCATATACTCAGACAGGCGATTGGCTAAGTAGGTCTTTCCAGTGCCGCTTGGACCAGACAAAATGATTCTCCGATGCTCTATCAAGAGTGACACGTAACGCTGTAGAATTGGCTTTGGGATTAGAGACTCAAATACCAGACCATCCAAACTATTCTCTACAAGACCTGTAGTATTAGAGAGAGAGAAAAACACAGTTTAAACCTTTTTCTTGCTGTTGTTGTTTTTAAATGTATTATGTCACTTGCACAAGAGAGAAGTGGCACTACTTGATATGTAGTATCTTTGAACTTCCCCATCCTCAAGCTCTTTAATTTTCAATTTTTATTAACTTTGATAAATAGACAAAATACTCCTAATAATTCTCAAAGAACGTTCCTTTTTACAAAAAAAATGACTTCTACATAGAATGAAATAGAAAAAGGAAGATAATGCAGTACAATAGGGTCCAGTGGAACAGATCCTAATCAATATCAACATTTTGCAATAAAGGACTTCAAAAATCTGCCACCTTGTAAGCTAGTGAATTAAAAACATGCCATACATGGTTTTTCAAAGGGAAAATTGACCTACAACCAGCCTACGAACACCTCAGAATTCAAATCAACCACATCAGCAACAGTATCAACCTTCAACCAACCCCCAACCCCCCAACCAGCACTTCAACTTCCAATGACCCTCACCTGATGTGACCTCCCCATCACAAGACCTTCATCTATCTGATATGACCCACACCTGACGCCCCACGAGACCTCTCAGAAGACCTTCATGTGACATGACTCTCACCTGACCCCTCACAAGATCCATCACAAGACCCTGACCTGACATGACCCTCCCATCACAAGACCTACTGTCCACTCAAAGCCCTTATAAGCAGAAGAACACCAATACTGATATTCCCTAAATTCTGCTGAAGATGTTACCTAACCTGGTAATCAACCCCAAGCTCGGAAAATGAACCTCCACCCTCATCCTATACCCAAATTACAGATAGTCACCACTGTATATACATTTTTAATAGCATACAAAAAATGACTGAAACATCAGTTTAGACCTTTCTTACCAAAATAACTCAATATTGCCTGTTTTTTTTAAAGTATAAACTTTTAGATACTACATCAGAATTTGTTACAGAGCAACACATCAAGAAAAACTGAATAGTAATAATCTTTGGAGGAGGCACTGCAAATAATAACCTTTTTCCTTGGTGAACAATATTGGGTCTTTAAAATTCAGTTGAAGACAATAAACCTAAATTCCCTTATTTGCCAATGTTCATGGACTGTTACATTTGGAAGAACTGATTTTCAAATAACCCAAACAACACAGCAATTAGAATAATCAGTGGAACAAGTTGTCTTCAGAAGTTATGGGTGCTCCAACAATGGAAGTTTTTAAGAAGAGATTGGACAACCATTTGTCTGAGATGTTATAGGGTTTTCTGCTTGAGCTGGGGGTTGGACTAGAAGACCTCCAAGGTCCCTTCCAACTGTTATTCTGTTACTATATACAGTAAATGTAAAGCTGTATTACAAAGCTATCTGTAGCACTTTATAGTTTGGGGTGGGGAAGGGGTGGAGAAAGGAAAAAAAATCTTCTTTTCATTTTCACAGCTCTGTTGTGTATTCACTCTCTATCCTAGTCTGCACATATATAATATAATTCCAGTTCTTGATCTTAAGCTTTGAGAATTTTAGCAATTAAAGCAAATGCCATTAAGTTAACTTTGTTGGGTCCCAAGCTCTATTGTATTTGTTTACTTCTCTTGAAATAAAGAATATTTCAATGATAAACAAATTATACAGGTTAACAAAACTCTACAGAAAAAGACAGGTCCTTTCTTTCTAATAAGTGGAAATGTTTTGTGAAATATTCACTTTATTTATACAGGTGGTTCTTGTTATTTGTGGCTTAATAACCACAGATAACAAAGCTCTGGATAATGAGACCTTGAGAAAAACTCATGCATAAAGTACCTAAGAACATTTCAGAAGGCTTCTTCCAAACAAACCCATCTGCCCAAAACTGTGAAGAGTGACAGTCCTTGCTTACCAACCATCGCAATGCTGCTATGGTCACAGCTTGCAATTACAATGATTGCAGCGTCTCAGTCATGTGATTACTATTTGCAACCTTCCCTGCTGGTTTCCCACAAAGTCAGTGGGGAATCTGGCATGGAAAGTTGCAAGGTTGCTTTGATAAATCCCACCCCAGATTTCAACCAACCCATGCTCTTCTGTCTTTGAGCTCCCTGCACTTGCGCCACATTACAGCATCTCCTCCTTCAACTTGTGTGCAGTCTGTGCATCCTTCTCAGCCCCAACCCCACCCTCCTGCAGTAACCTCACGCTACTTACATGGGACTCCCCACCACTTCCCACTTAAAAATCCATGAACTTAGAGTTACAATGGCAATAGGAAATTCCTTGATTGCTAATTGATGTGGTCACATGATCTCGTGCTTTATATGACATTGCTTAACAATGGCAATTCCACACCCAATTGCCATCATAATCTGAGGACTCTCTGTACATGAAACTAGGCAGTGAGTAACAAGGTATGGTCTTTATTTGCCAGTCATGGATATACAAAACAATGCAATGGGACCATGATTAATGAGGCCCACCTGTAGAAATCCACAAACAGGGACGTGAAAGGTTCATAGTAATGTGGTTGCACTTGACCTTTCTTACTAATAGTGGTATCCAACTGAAGGAGAAACAACATTTAGCCAAGAAAGAAAGGCAGAAAGAAAGCTAATTAAATGTTCTTCAATACTGAAATCTGGAAAGCCTACAATTATAAAGAGTTGTAACAAATAAATCAGCTACAATCTACCTTTGATTTTCACAGAGATGGTGTTGTTTTCACCAACCAGATAGCCACAGGGTAGCAGCTCAGGCGTTTCTGTGCTATTTGTGCGAACAATTTCTCCAATGCTGTATCCCAGGACACTGTCCGAATTCAACCCAAGTTGACTCACAGGATCAACGTGAATGATGTATTCCTGGGAAGAGGGAGCAAAAGAGAAAATTAACATACGGATGGATTTGGGCTTTAAGACAAAAACTTCACGATCAAGTGGAATTCCCATTCCCATGCTTTTTAGCAAATATTTAGGGGAAATGATTACATGCCATCAAGTCATTTTTGACTTCTAGCAACCAGATAGATAGGCAGATCTCCCAATTGGTGCACTCATCACCACTGTAACTGAATCCATCCACCTTGCACTTGGTCATCCTCTTCCTCTCTTCCTCTCTTTCCTTCCATCTTTCCCAGCATTAGAGCCTTTTCCAGAGAGCCAGGTCTTCTCATAATGTGTCTGAAGTAGGATAATTTGAGCCTGATCATTTGTGCCTCAAGGTGAAAATTCTAGACCGATTTGTTCAATGATCCATCGGTTTGTCTTCTTGACTATCCACTATATTCTCAAGAATCTTCTCCAACACCAATGTTCAAAGGCATCAATTCTTTTCCTATTCTGCTTCTTTAAAGTCCAACTTTCATTTCCACAGGGTATACCACAGCTTGCACAACTGTGGTCTTTGTAAACATAAACACATTATGGCATTTGAAAGTTTTTTCCAAGGCCTTCATTACTGTTCTACAAAGTGCTAGTTTGTGGCGTACGTATTTCTTGACTGCTTGTTCCTTTACTGTTGATGGTTGATCCTAAAAGGCAGAAGCTATTGTCATTGTGACAAATATTTCCCTGTCATTAGGACTATGCAAAATCTTCTGAGTGTAAAATATTCCATGTTTAGAATGGCTGGTTTAATTATTTCAAATCCTGAGAATGGTAATCTTTGTATATTCACCTAATTTGATGGTCTATTTGTCCAGGTAGGTAGTGAAGCAAAAGTTGATGGATTCCATGAGTAATTTTCTATTTAACCATATTGTCAAATGCAATTGTGCATAGTGCACATTGATTAAAAAGTGGTTGTTATACATTTAAGCTCACAGGCTCCCATAAAAAAAAACTATGTTGTTTTGTTTGCTGAATTTGGGAGCAAGATTGCAGAATACAGAAGTGCGTATGTGCATTAGGGAGAAATTTCAAACCTGCAACTAAAGAAGTATATTTTTATGAAAAATATATTATTTGTAGGATGGGCTTAATTAACCCATCGCTCCTGGGATTTTTGATTGACTTAGGTTCTGGGGCTATATTGCACAAGCATTATAGCAAAAATGGACAATCAATCGCATTAAGAATGACTAGTGATTTCCCCAATTTCTTCAAAACTTTCAATCAAGAAGTTTAATTAGGCATTGTTACCAAACGTAGTGCTATGTGCCAATTTGTTTACAGCCTTGTCAACTGCAATTTTTGTAGTTTAATTGTACCAAATTGTAGTGCCCAGATAGAAAGTAGAATCCAAGGTCTTCAGGTTAGATTGGATTGCCAACCCTACTCAAGCTCCAAATGTGGAAGAACGCAATGGCAAATTCTAGAAGAATGAAGTACATTGTTCTAGAACCATTTCAGTCGGAGTTTGGTCCTGAAATTGTCTTGGTTGTTCTGCTTGATAATCTTTGCTGACAGGCAAACTTGGTTTTCAATATCAAATCATCTCAGGTATAATAAACTAGTTCTTAAATAAACTCTGAGATAAGCTGTGGTTCTCAAAATCTTCTACAATTAATAACTGCTTACTTACCAACAAAAAAATCCTAAGTTTTCTTTTAGGTCTTAATCAAATAAATTATATATAAAAAACACTAAGATAGGGGGACTTCCGGTGGCAGGCGCCTTCGCTGGACGCAGCTGTTTGCTGCTCCCGCCTGTTTCTGCGTAAAAGCCGTTCTGACAGCCTGCATCAGCTGTCAAACGGCTTGATACCTTTCCCCTGGGCATAGGGGGAAAGGTGAGCTGCCCGAGGTAGGAGTTGAGTTCCCGAGTCGTCCCTTGTGGACGATGTAGGTGAG